CATTCTGCTAAACCAACACTCAAGTGGGTTAAGGGGAAACATTTTAATGTCTTGCAATGGCCTAGTCAAAGCCCACACCTCAATCCAATTGAGAATCTGTGGTATGACTTAAAGATTGTTGTACACCAGCGGAACCCATCCAACTTGAAGGAGCTGGAGCAGTTTTCCCTTGAAGAATGGGCAGAATTCCCAGTGGCTAGATGTGCCAAGCTTATAGAGACATACCCCAAGGGGGTGAATAGTTATGCACTGTCAAGTTGTCCGTTTTTTTGTCTTATTTCTTGTTTGTTTCACAATAAAAAATATTTTGCATCTTCAAAGTGGTAGGCATGTTGTGTAAATCAACTGATACAACCCCCCCAAAATCAATTTTAATTCCAGGTTGTAAGGCAACAAAATAGGAAAAATGCCAAGGGTGGTGAATACTTTCGCAAGCCACTGTATGGAGCTTTGGAACACTACTTCTGACATACAATTATGCTGATATCCATTCCCTTGCCAGGCCACACTTTTATATTTGATCACCTGTTCATACTGTACAGTATGGCTATATTCAGGGAGATACTATGTCAACCAGCTCTCATAACGATACAGAGACAGGTCTGACAGACTCCTAAACCTAGCCTGGTCTCAGATCTGTTTGTGTTCTTGCTAACTCCATTGCTGTCATTGTCAATCCAATCATGTTTTGCATGACAAGGAGTTGGCATGATAGCACAAACAGACTCAGGCTATCCTAAACTCACTGTCATCAAGAACCATGTCCTTACATCACTGCCAAACGTGACCAGTCTGTTCCATGTCTACAGTGAGGGAAAAAAGTATTTGATCCCCTGCTGATTTTGTACGTTTGCCCACTGACAAAGAAATGATCAGTCTATAATTTTAATGGTAGGTATATTTGAACAGTGAGAAACAGAATAACAACAAAAAAAATCCAGAAAAACACATGTCAAAAATGTTATAAATTGATTTGCATTTTAATGAGGGAAATAAGTATTTGACCCCCTCTCAATCAGAAAGATTTCTGGCTCCCAGGTGTCTTTTATACAGGTAACGAGCTGAGATTAGGAGCACACTCTTAAAGGGAGTGCTCCTAATCTCAGCTTGTTACATTTACATTTACATTTTAGTCATTTAGCAGACGCTCTGTTACCTGTATAAAAGACACCTGTCCACAGAAGCAATCAATCAATCAGATTCCAAACTCTCCACCATGGCCAAGACCAAAGAGCTCTCCAAGGATGTCAGGGACAAGATTGTAGACCTACACAAGGCTGGAATGGGCTACAAGACCATCGCCAAGCAGCTTGGTGAGAAGGTGACAACAGTTGGTGCGATTATTCGCAAATGGAAGAAACACAAAATAACTGTCAATCTCCCTCGGCCTGTGGCTCCATGCAAGATCTCACCTCGTGGAGTTGCAATGATCATGAGAACGGTGAGGAATCAGCCCAGAACTACACGGGAGGATCTTGTCAATGATCTCAAGACAGCTGGGACCATAGTCACCAAGAAAACAATTGGTAACACACTACGCCGTGAAGGACTGAAATCCTGGCCCGTCTGCAGTTTGCCAATGAACATCTGAATGATTCAGAGGAGAACTGGGTGAAAGTGTTGTGGTCAGATGAGACCAAAATCGAGCTCTTTGGCATCAACTCAACTCGCCGTGTTTGGAGGAGGAGGAATGCTGCCTATGACCCCAAGAACACCATCCCCACCATCAAACATGGAGGTGGAAACATTATGCTTTGGGGGTGTTTTTCTGCTAAGGGGACAGGACAACTTCACCGCATCAAAGGGACGATGGACGGGGCCATGTACCGTCAAATCTTGGGTGAGAACCTCCTTCCCTCAGCCAGGGCATTGAAAATGGGTCGTGGATGGTTATTCCAGCATGACAATGACCCAAAACACACAGCCAAGGCAACAAAGGAGTGGCTCAAGAAGAAGCACATTAAGGTCCTGGAGTGGCCTAGCCAGTCTCCAGACCTTAATCCCATAGAAAATCTGTGGAGGGAGCTGAAGGTTCGAGTTGTCAAACGTCAGCCTCGAAACCTTAATGACTTGGAGAAGATCTGCAAAGAGGAGTGGAACAAAATCCCTCCTGAGATGTGTGCAAACCTGGTGGCCAACTACAAGAAACGTCTGACCTCTGTGATTGCCAACAAGGATTTTGCCACCAAGTACTAAGTCATGTTTTCCAGAGGGGTCAAATACTTATTTCCCTCATTAAAATGCAAATCAATTTATAACATTTTTTACATGCATTTTTCTGGATTTTTGTTGTTGTTATTCTGTCTCTCACTGTTCAAATAAACCTAACATTAAAATTATAGACTGATCATGTTTTTGTCAGTGGGCAAACGTACAAAATCAGCAGGGGATCCAATACTCTTTTCCCTCATTGTACATAGCTGTAGTTATTGTCCCTGCTGATTTTAGTATTTACTTGCAGTAAATGCCATTCCATTCTACAGAAGACTCCTGAAATATGCAATGGCTTAGTTGGGACTGTAAAGGCATGCAGAATTTGGAGAGCATGATATCCAGAGCAATGTAAAATAATGTATTTGAACTGGGACTGAAGTTTGCACTTATACAATGTGCAGTTATCAGTAATGGGCTGGAGAGCCATTTTATATGACATTCTTGGATTTTTCGGAAGTCATCGTCACACTATGAACTTCCTTTCTTTCAGTCACTGACTTTTTTTTTTTTCACTGACTAATTAAGGCGAAGGAGTTGGTTGTGTTCTTTGTGTATTCATGACCAACTACTGAAGTGATGTCATTATAAAACAGAACATACTGTACTGCTGCTGTTATTGTATACTGTGATGGATAGATATAGGTAATTGGAGATGCTCAGAATAGATAATTGACTGTGTGAAAACACAATCAAGCCAGGCTCATGTGTGGAAAATGTAGCACTTTATTCATCATACATATTATACTGTGCAAATGATATCAATACAAAGAAAAGGAACATGATTTACAAATGTACAAATGCTTTATGGTATAGCAGTGCAGCTAGTCACACAAATTCGATTTAACTCATTACACAATATATGCATGTTCAAAAGCAGTGATAATTTTCACAATTAAAACAATTATGGTCTATCTAACTTGCATTTATCAAATCAAAGTTTATTTGACGCATACACAGTTTTGCAGATGTTATCGCAGGTGCAGTGAAATGCTTATCAGCATATGAAATGTTGTTTTCCTCAGCTAATCGTTTTGTCGCTCTATTAGCTGTATGATTGTGGTTGTGTACCATAGACCATAGACTAAAGTGACAGTTTTTGATTGTGTACTTAACTAGACATTTTATCCACTGTGTTTAATGCTGTAGCTGCGTGTAGGCTATATGCTGCGGATTATGTTTGTGCATTGATGGTGTGCTTGGTCTCACTTTTTGTAAATTACAAAATAGATACTGGGGGATCTGTTTTAAGAAGAGAGATCATTAGAAATGTAGCAATTCTGCAATTGTACAACAGACACCCTCTTACTAATGGTGCCCAACTCAAACAGGAAAGGGAATTATATAAGAATTCCTTGAAACTCCAAGGAATCTCCCAGAAACAGCTCTGTTGCAGAACAAACATAAAATGGCTTCCAGGAATCTGAAGCTTGGCAACCTTATGGTCTTCATGTCAAATGGAGAACATAGACCCACAAAAATGTTGTAGTTTATTTTACAATCGAATGCACTACAAAATCAGTAGTCTTTCTCAGTTTACAACAGACATAAACATAGAAGACTTTCATACATCATTTTTTGTTGAAACAAAGTTTTCAAAAAATCTGTCTAGTCTTTCTGAAGTTGGCTAGTAATTTGTTAGGTTACATCAACATTGGACTATGTCTGTGAACACACAGCTTCTATTTTGTAACTGCTTCTTTCACTAGGTCTCTGGTATAATAAAAGCACCAAACAGCTGAAGATGATCATAAGATTATTGTTATATTGAATAAATCTATTGTAAACAATCACAGGCAGTAAATACGGTCTACACTATACAATCAAAATGTTTGCAGGTGTTAACTGGTGGTGTTAGATTAGATTTTGACAATTATTCACAAAAAGGTACCAAACTAATTCAACCTCTGGACCAGTGTTTCCCAACTCCACTCCTCGAGTACCCCCAACAGCACACATTTTTGTTGTAACCCTGGACAAGCACACCTGATTCAACTTGTCAATTAATCATTAAGCCCTCAATGAGTTGAATCAGGTGAGCTTGTCTGGGGCTACAACAAAAATGTGTGTGCTGTTGTGGGTACTCGAGGACAGGAGTTGGGAAACACTGCTCTGCGTGAATATTGATATAATAACCATAATATTGAAGTCAACTTGGAGTCACGCTATGGCATGTTGTGTGGTCCCCCCACTACGACTCGTTCGGAAAGCATGCAGTTTATTATGCTACATATTAAATAAATTATGATGAACTTCACAGGGTGGTGAAAGTGCAAGGTGATGAGCTTGTAGCTCCTTTCCAATAAATATCGAGGGTCTTCTTCTGGTGACATGATAATCGATGCTTGGCTGCCATTTGACAAATACAAATAAGATAGCGCTGTTAGCTAAAGCGCACGCGCCAATACCAGACTGGGCACACTCGCTATATAATGTAATATTATTGTGAGAAAACCATCAGTAGAGTTGAAAATGTGCTGGAAAGTCCTTTAACTTGTATTTTTTATTCGGTACATGGGGATTTAACCGCAAAAGTTATGTTTATGTGCACTACGTCATCACGCGCGTACAGGCTTTTATCTGCAACAAGTCAATTTGATGGAAACACATCGCTGGTGGGAAAGCGCATATTGTTTTTATGCAGATTTTAGAATATTCACATTCAAATCTGTCGGAAACCTAGCTAATGTCTCTCAATCTGATGTTGTCTGCCAGAGATTTTACAACCGTGATATATCTCCCTGTGACACCCAGCGCAACCCTACATCACCAACGGAAAACCGTGTGCTCTATTTGGAGTCGGAGATGCTTTTGAAGCTCATGTAGAGCGAGCTGACTACTGTGGCCTCGTAGTTAATGGAGTCTTTCCCGTCAGAAGGCCTTCGGCACAGCACTGTCACCAGTTTATTGGGCAGCTGGCCGCTGAAGAGCAGGTAGATGCAGGGGTTTGCACAGCTGTTCAGACTCGCCATCAGCATCAGGATGGTGAACGTTGCGGCTGCAATGACAATAACACAAGGACAAATGATGCACAGTTACTGCAACCTATGCCTCGATCACACCGACAGTGTCATTGCATTTTGGTAACGTGGTTTCCATGTGTTTGATACCATTCCATTGACTCTATTCCAGCCATTACTCTGAGCCGTCCTCCCCTCAGCAGCCTCCACTGGTTGCAGAGGCAGTTGCAGTGCATTCTATGTGGTGCATATGTTGGATTTATCGAAGGTATGCATCAAATTGTATGCGTAGATGGCTTTACAGAAATGGTAGCAGAAGGTGAATGTTTAACTTTTGTTGCACACATATCCAGATGATGCTGTGTACCATTTTGCCCAATGACGCTGTAGGTGTGATCAATGTGTAAGAGCCTAAATCAGAGGGTGTGTACCAGTGGTGTGAATACCCGGGGTGTGAGGTGGTTGGAGTTGTCAACAAAGCAGCATGACATAAATATGATGTCAAATTTTCTAACTACCAGTAGATTATTTGAGAAGATATATAAAGCAATCTGTGCATTTGAACAACAGCATAAATACACCTATTTCATTTTTGCATGTCAAAAACCGAATGAGCAATGCTGCCACTGTTTTGAACAGATTAGATCATAGGTTACTATTTAGAACGAGTAGCCAGCTCACGTCACAAATGAATGAGTGCACCAGGGAGAACATAACAAGCATGCAGATGCAATAAGTGAAAACACATTATCTAACTGGGGATAGCTCTGGGCGTTCGTAAATTCTGAACACACAACACCCGCAACACCCGCAACACCCGTTGAATATGACCGGTGTCAGTAAACATTGGCAAAAAACGTAATTAGATTGTTGCCAGCAGCACAGTTACAGTCACTAACGCTCTAGATAACATGAAAACAGTCTAACCAGCTCTGCTAGGGCGAGTAAAATGGTCAGAGTTAGGTGTTCTCTCATTTGTGTATGGAAGTAGCTAACAAGCTAGCCACCTTTAGCCAGTTAGCTTGGGGTTAGCTGACCTTTGTGAGGTCAGAACGCTCGCATCAACCCTACTCCTCCGCCTGAGCATCCAGTGTGTCCAGTGTGCGCTCTAAATGCTCAGAGAGCAAAATGTACTTAATTTATGAAGGGACATTCTAACAATGCTCTGAATTTACCAACGCCCTCACTCAGCACACTCTGACACCCCAGAGGGAATTTACAAATGCACCCTTAGTCAGATATTAGTTTAGAAAGACTTGAAATTGGCATGAGAGCGAACTGTTAACTAGCTAGCAAGCTACCAGCCAACTAGCTGCTTATCAAAGGTAGATAGCCTATCTGGTTAATTTGACCCAAAAATCATCATGCTTTGTGAGTGATACACACGGTTTTATGCTGTTTTAGTCCACACAACATGTCGCCCTGTCACCTACCCTGATGGACAATAAAAATGGCCAAGCTTTTTTGTCCTACCAGATCCACAATGAGAAGGTTCTAGCTAGTGTATCCCTCTGTCCTTCGACTCTTGTTGGATGTAGTTGTCTGGTTTATCAGGTCCCAGGCACCCATGACTGTTATGATTATTTATTAACAAGTTAATTACAATTTGCTTTTTGCTTTAGCGCCATCTATACCTGATAGAGCAGATCTAGTGACACATGCAGAAGTAAACCGTCTGGTGTGAGAAACTCATTGGGAGCGAGACTAGAGCAGAGCCAGAAGTTCTGACTCAACAGATGCACATTTGAGAGCCCCAGGTCAGTCCATTTACTTTGTGCTGTTATAATACATGCTATTGGCAGTTCCCCCTCATAGCAAATAGCTGGCAAAACAATCCAAGCATTGAGGGAGTTATTTTACGATGGCCCGGATTGAACAAATGTCTGTCACGTCATGAGGAGAAAGCGGGGAGGGAGGAGTGTCCTTCTCAAATCGAACAGTAATCCGTGCCGCTCTGTCATTTTGTCAACAAGGCCAGAAACAAACAACATCTATTTTCCATAAAATAAATGCTAAAATGTCCTAACTAGTTTTCATTGGGAAGGCAGATAAAGCGTTTTTATCAAAAGCAATCACTTTTGCATGGGAAAACACAGAATCCTACTAATTACTATGCGTGCTTAATTACGTCACTTTTGTTTTGAGACGACTTTGCTGTCGGACAGAGCGGGCACCAAGCTCATGCAATCAACTTTCAGCCGGTGCAAAGCAAGCCTACACATGCGCCAGGGCGAGATTAATCAAACCCCCTCAACATTCAGCATGGCCTATGCGCCCACAGAGGTGGGGCTGCTGCTGGCTGCATGCAGTCACTGAGAAACAGAGTAGTAACTGAACAGCTTGTTCTGAACAATCTATTTTTGAAACAGGAAAATGTACACATCTACCGCACTTTTATGAGCATTTAAAACACAATCCATGAATTATATATATATTTTTAAATATATTTTTAAAAATATATATGGGCGGACCGCCGCTGGCTATATTGAAAGTCATAATTGTGGACTTTATTATACAGTTATAATAAGATTGATATCCATATTCTTACTTTCCGTTGGTGCGTCCTTGTCCCACACAGACCAAAGCTGGACCGTGAAGAACGGAGTCCAGCAGATGATGTAGGCAAGCACGATAACCACTGTCATCTTCACAGTCTTGATTCGTGCTTTGGACACCCCGGCCACGCTGCTGGTTCTGGAGGGCAGCTGAAAGGCAACCCCGCTACCCCCATCCTGGTGCGTCTTTAAGTAAAGGTTGTTCTGGATGGCTCGACAGATTCGCACCTGGCACACCACCACGGTCAAAATGGGCAAGACAAAGATAACCAGCGTGGTCCAGGTGATGTATGTCTTCAGGCCCCAGGGCTGGATAAAGTACGCCCAGCAGTCGAACACCCCGGGCGCCACCTGCACCCGCGAGAAGATGAAGATCTGAGGCAGGCCGCCCACGAGGGAGATCGACCAGGCGATGCAAACAGGGATGTTCCAGCGCTCTCGCCTCCTCTGAAACTTGACCATAGGGTTGCAGATAGCCTGGTAGCGGTCAATGGTCATCACTACGATCATGTAGGTGGACGCAAACATGCCCACGACCTGCAGATACTTCACCAAGCGGCACACCAGGTCCGGTCCGATGAATCTGTCCGTAATGTCCCACATGAGCTGCGGGCACACCTGGAAAAACGCCACAACCAGGTCTGCAACGCACAGATGGAACACCAAGACACGCATCTTGGATACCTGTTTGCGCCGCTTCCACAGAACCAGTAGTAGCCCGGTGTTCAGGATAACGGCACTGACGAAGATGACGCTGAGCAGCGCGATCTCTACTTTGGCCAGGTTCTCATCCCGGGGCATGTCCTCAACCTCCATCATCAGACTGAAGTTACTGAGACTGCCATTAAACGGGTACATGGTTTAGGTTTGGAGTGCGAAGAGGCGGGTGCCAGCAACTTTATGCACGAGTGGTCTTCTGCAGAGAAACCAAGATTGATACGCTGACCAACTGAGATACTTTGATATGCTATTACACAAATGTTATGATTTGCCAACCATATCTGATCTAAAACTTCTCAAATAATAATTTAAAAAAGGCTGAGTTAGTAAAATGTCCGAGAATTTGAATTATCCTAAATCTCAAAATAATTAATTGCCCACTAATTTCAACCCATCAAAAAAACATAAGGCCATAGGCTAAAGAAACGTAGGCCTATAACTTAAACAAAGACAACTTACTGATATTTAGTTTGATTGCAGTGCGCATGAGAAGTTGGGGAGAGGTCGACATGAGCTGCAGCCTAGTAGTCTATGGATGAGGTGTTGCAGCTGTTGCTCTGCGCTTTCTATTATTTGCTTGGGAGCAGGGTGGAGCTATCCTTCAGCACCATGTCCGCGCGCACAGCAGCTGCCACCTTTCATGATAGCGAGAAGTCTCAAATATGAGCACGTTTATGAAAACTTTTTATATAACTATTGTTTTATTTTTGAACATAACGCTTTCATTTTTTATTTACAGTTCGGTCATAGGCTAGAGTGTTTCAGGCTGCTTGGCTCTCTGTATAGGCTAACATATATTTACATTGTACTGCACTAGGTATACTGTTTACATATGCACCCAGTGTTTGGAAGTTGTCTCAGCCTTTAAAGAGAATCCCTTTCCATAAAGAGCTCAATCAAAGACTCTACAGTATGAGAAACGCTGTGGCTCCATGTTTATAGAGAATAATTCAGGTCATTATGTATTAGCTTCCTGGGAGAATGAGAACAGCCCAATTTACACAGAACTGAGCATTCCTGAAACCTTAACCCCAAATTAGCAGGTTATTGTAAAAAGAAAAAAAGACACTTTCAAAAAACAAAACTTGATAAAATTATCATAATTCATAGGCCTACAGTATGCCTGATAGTGGGTGGCATTGCTTAAAAATGTAATGAACGTAACATTTTAATGCAATTCTATTTCTATGAGTGCACAATTGGACATCACCAGCCACTTACTGTAACTTTCAAGATGTTGGTTATTCAATGGGTGACCAGGGTACAGATCCCACCGTGCTTTGTGTTCCATCCACAAAATGGATCAATACTGACAATTAATGCACTCCTCTAATAACAATCTACCCTAATACCCTATGACCTATAGTCTCATCCTCCCTATATTGGCCTATCCAGACAGACACATCCCAGGACATGCCAATGTAGCAGAACACTATTAGTGTTCCTGACAGCCTCCAGATGTCCTGAAACAGACAGTGTTGATTCTAGACACACAGTTGACTCCAGCTGGTTACAGATGTTTTCTGTGGAAACACTGGAGGAGGAGAAATTACTCTTACTCTTTTGCCCTTTGGGTCCCTCTTGCGGGAGGCCTATCACAAATGTCAATTAATGTGCACAGTGTTGATTTTTTTGTGTTACATTTCTAGTGTTGATTCAGGAGTTAAATTCACTCTGTAAGAGTGACATTAACACTAAGTGGTGTAAAAGAACCAACATTATTGGTGTTAATAGTTTCAAAAGTGTTATTTTAACACCAGTACAGTGGGACTCATATGTTCACTGAAAATAGTGTACATTCAACACTTTCAGAGTTAAATGTACACCATTGATTTTGCTGTGTGGAACACACAAAATATCTGGAGAATTATATCACTAATAACTCTCACTGGGTCCTTAGAAAAATTATCTGTGGCTCTGACTGTCATGATCGTTGAGAGACGGGTCAGACCAAGGTGCAGCGTGGTATGCGAACATGTTTATTAAACTGGATAAACACTAGACAAAATAACAAACTCAACGAAACCGTGAAGTCCTATGGGCTATACACGAAACAAGCCTAACAGGAACATAAACAACAAAAGGCAATGTAACGTGACACTCACTATGGCTAAAACACATACAAGCCGAACAAGATCCCACAACCCAGGCAGGAAAACTGGCTGCCTAAGTATGATCCCCAATCAGAGACAACGAGCGACAGCTGCCTCTGATTGGGAACCACACCCGGCCAAACATAGAAATACAAAACATAGAGTTTCACACCCTGACCAAACTACCTAGAGAATAACAGTCTCTCCAGGTTAGGGCGTGACACTGACTGATAATAATATGTGAATTTGGTGATCAGTTCAGCCTCTGTGCCCAGCGTGTCCTCCACCTCCCTCTGACTCCCTGCACATATTCCCCTGGATCAGAACCCCTGGGAGCTGCAGGTCCTCCTCTGGCATTATCATAGACGTCATCATAGTCATACATCATTGGGTTTTACCCACTGAAGGGGAGGCAAGTTCACTTCCACACAGCCTCCTGGATGTCCAGACTGTGTATGTCTTTCATGGGGAGAGAGATGTGGAGAAGGTGGGATCAGAGGACCCATGTTGTCAACAGAGAGTAAGTTACCTCAATACTGGGAACAATCTTTGAGTCTAACCAATTAGAGGTAAACACTCAATACTGTCTTGGAAAGCTAACACGTCGCTGTGTTTTGTGCATCTTACAGTAAACATATTTCCAAAGAGGACCTTTACATCACACTGATTACATGGAGGCCGCCGGGCACTAATTTGGATTAATCCTGATCAGAGAGACAGACTTTTGAAGTCAGTCCATTTGTTTGACTATACGAGAGAGAGCGAGAAAGAGATATCCATTGATCTGATTAATCAGTCTATGGCCTGGGGGCCAGGGCCTCATGGAGGCTAGAGCATTCAACTCAGGCCTTGAGTAAACTTACAATATAACACAGATGGCAAAATAATCCATCAAACATTGCTTATGTCCCTATATTGCCTATGTTTCCGGATTGCCTCCTAGCACTGGCGTATCAGACACCCCGCAGTCCCCGCATGTCGGGGGAGCCCACAAGCTCTGGGGGCCCATGTGCCTTTAAAAAAAAAAAAATATTTCACCTTTATTTAACCAGGTAAGCCAGTTGAGAACAAGTTCTCATTTACAACTGCGACCTGGCCAAGATAAAGCAAAGCAGTGCGATAAAAACAACAACACAGAGTTACATATGGGGTAAAAAAAAAAAACATAAAGTAAAAAAATACAACAGAAAATATACAGTGTGGAAAAAAAGTATTTAGTCAGCCACCAATTGTGCAAGTTCTCCCACTTAAGAAGATGAGAGAGGCCTGTCATTTTCATCATAGGTACACGTCAACTATGACAGACAAATTGAGAAAGAAAAATCCAGAAAATCACATTGTAGAATTTTTAATGAATTTATTTGCAAATTATGGTGGAAAATAAGTATTTGGTCAATAACAAAAGTTTCTCAATACTTTGTTATATACCCTTTGTTGGCAATGACACAGGTCAAACGTTTTCTGTAAGTCTTCACAAGGTTTTCAGACACTGTTGCTGGTATTTTGGCCCATTCCTCCATGCAGATCTCCTCTAGCGCAGTGATGTTTTGGGAATGTCGCTGGGCAACACAGACTTTCAACTCCCTTCAAAGATTTGCTATGGGGTTGAGATCTGGAGACTGGCTAGGCCACTCCAGGACCTTGAAATGCTTCTTACGAAGCCACTCCTTCGTTGCCCGGGCAGTGTGTTTGGGATCATTGTCATGCTGAAAGACCCAGCCACGTTTCATCTTCAATGCCCTTGCTGATGGAAGGAGGTTTTCACTCAAAATCTCACGATACATGGCCCCATTCATTCTTTCCTTTACACGGATCAGTCGTCCTGGTCCCTTTGCAGAAAAACAGCCCCAAAGCATGATGTTTCCACCCCCATGCTTCACAGTAGGTATGGTGTTCTTTGGATGCAACTCAGCATTCTTTGTCCTCCAAACACGACGAGTTGAGTTTTTACCAACAAGTTATATTTTGGTTTCATCTGACCATATGACATTCTCCCAATCCTCTTCTGGATCATCCAAATGCACTCTAGCAAACTTCAGATGGGCCTGGACATGTACTGGCTTAAGCAGGGGGACACGTCTGGCACTGCAGGATTTGAGTCCCTGGCGGCGTAGTGTGTTACTGATGGTAGGCTTTGTTACTTTGGTCCCAGCTCTCTGCAGGTCATTCACTAGGTCCCCCCGTGTGGTTCTGGGATTTTTGCTCACCGTTCTTGTGATCATTTTGACCCCACGGGGTGAGATCTTGTGTGGAGCCCCAGATCGAGGGAGATTATCAGTGGTCTTGTATGTCTTCCATTTCCTAATAATTGCTCCCACAGTTGATTTCTTCAAACCAAGCTGCTTACCTATTGCAGATTCAGTCTTCCCAGCCTGGTGCAGGTCTAGAATTTTGTTTCTGGTGTCCTTTGACAGCTCTTTGGTCTTGGCCATAGTGGAGTTTGGAGTGTGACTGTTTAAGGTTGTGGACAGGTGTCTTTTATACTGATAACAAGTTCAAACAGGTGCCATTAATACAGGTAACGAGTGGAGGACAGAGGAGCCTCTTAAAGAAGAAGTTACAGGTCTGTGAGAGCCAGAAATCTTGCTTGTTTGTAGGTGACCAAATACTTATTTTCCACCATAATTTGCAAATAAATTCATAAAAAATCCTATAATGTGATTTTCTGGAGAAAAAAAATCTCAATTTGTCTGTCATAGTTGACGTGTACCTATGATGAAAATTACAGGCCTCACTCATCTTTTTAAGTGGGAGAACATGCACAATTGGGGGCTGACTAAATAGTTTTTTCCCCCACTGTATATACAGTGTGTGCAAATGTAGCAAGTTATGGAGGTAAGGCAATAAATAGGCTATAGTGCAAAATAATTACAAATAGTATTAACACTGGAATGCTAGATGTGCAAGAGATTATGTGCAAATAGAGATACTGGGGTGCAAAAGAGCAAAATAAATAACAATATAGGGATGAGGTATTTGGGTGGGCTAATTTCAGAGCCTGTCAATGATGTCTATAAAAAATATATATATTACATATATATACAC